AAAAGCAAAAGCAAAAGACAAAAAACCACAGAAGACAACTTAACGTGTATATAGGTCTTGAAGTGAGTGAAGTGGCTGCGTTTTTGTTTGGGTTTTTTTTAAGTTTTTTTTTCTTTTTTCCTTGGTTTTGTTTCTGTAGAAGAGATTTGAGATGGTACACTATTCTAATCAAAAATAAAGTTTTGTAGTGGGACCAGAAATTACTTACCCAATCCCCCCCCCAACCTCAACCCTGATTCTGCCGGGTTGAAAGTTCCAGACCTGCTGTCAAGGCTTTTGTTTGTCAGACCACCTGGTGTCCTTCCTGTGAAAATGCCGCCATGAACTGAAGGGTGAGCTACATGCCCTGAAATGCAGGGCCCCCCACCCCAGCTGCTGGGGTGCAGGGGAGCGGGCAGGCCAGTGGCCCAGGGATCATGGCTGAGGGTAAAGTTTTCACCTTGACTGTGACAGGAAGAGCAGGTAGCTTCCTCCCCAAGGGGGACCGATTCCCGCTTTCTGTTAACCTGTAGTTTAGGGGCCGGGGCTCTGGAGCTGTGACCTGGGGTCTCCCGGCCCCCCTGCTCCCAGGTAAATGTGAATGGAGACAGGTATGAGAGCCTGTCCTCAACTTTGATGCCCTCAACCCCGGCCTCACGACGGTGCTACCTAAGAAAGTCTTCCCCCAACCCGCACTTGCCTGGTCAGCGGTCAGCGAATTGGAGGAGGATCCGATGGGAGTGTGTAAATGTGAGATAAAAATGTCTTGGTTGTACCTGTTTGTGGTTTAGCTTTGTATTTAAAAGAAAAAAAAGGAAATAAACTTGAAAATTATTTGTCATCATAAAAATGAAACAAATTAAAATATTTATTGCCAGGCGAGGCTACCTGTGTCATTCTGTTTTTTTTAACAGGGCAGAGGTAGAAAAAAGTAAGGTTGGATTTTCTGTTTTCTTTATTTTACAAAAGGGCCACACACCAGTGTGAGTTTTGCTGAATGTCTTCCTAGGGGACAGTTTCTTCATTTGTATAATGGGGGTCAGAGGTTGCTTGTGGGGATTAAAAGTTAGGCACGTTCCCCCCGCTAGAACAATGCCTGGCACATAGCGTAAATTTTAGCTGCTGTAATTGTCATTTTTCTTTCCTTTTTTTTTTAGTTTTTTTGCAGGGGGGAGGTAATTAGGTTTACTTATTTGATTTTTCAGTGGCGGTACTGGGGATTGAACCCAGGACCTCAGGCATGATAGGCATGTGCTCTACCACTTGAGCTATACCCTCCCCCCTATAGTTGTCATTTTTATTGTGTCTAATATAGCAGACTTGATTCTCAGGGAGGGGTCTCAGAGTCATCACCTGCGCCTGTCTGGTACTGGAAGACCCCCAGTGCAGCCCAGACCTTGGTCCCCGCCGCACACCGTCTGCCCTTGATAGGCTGTTAGTTCCCTCAGCCCCAGGCACTTGAGGGAGGTTGGACTGTGAGTAGGGGCCTTGGTTTACAGGCAGAAGGTCCATTCTCAGCGTCAGCTTAAAGCATTTGTTAGCTGTCACCCTGAACAAATCATTTACCATCTGAAGTTTATCCATCAAATGGGAACAGCCTCTGTCCACCTGCCTTACCAGGGTTTCCTGAGGATTCAGTCATACATTACTACATCCTCACCTTGGAGGGGACAGTGTGGCCAAGTGCTCAGCCCTGGAACAGAACCTGTGTTTCCAGCCACTCAGCAGCTGCGTAACATCAGGCAGGTTATCTCACCTCCCGGTGTGCCCTTTCCTCCTCTGTGACGTGGAGAAAATACTGGTGCTTGTATCAGGGTGACTGTGAGGACTGAATGAATTTAAGACAGCAAAGTGCTTGCACAGAGAGAATCCTTGGTAATCAATGTTCAGCTATTGTTAGGATGAAAAATTTCAGTGTTTCCTATCATGCACTGTTTCTAAGGGCCCAGGACTGATGAGCACCTTCAGGCTCTGACACTTAGTTGCTGAATTTATTTCTTCACTTTTAAAAGACGATTACTGCAGCGACCACTCCTGACACCTTCTGAAACCTGGCTCAAAACCCGCTTCTCAGCCTGTCTCTCCCTGTGCTGGGTGTGGAGAGGAAAGCCCGCATCACGGAGTGGCTGTATCTCCTGTCTGTAGTCACACCAGTCCTGGCTCCAAGAAAGATGCTCCCAGACTTATCTTCCTGAACTCAAATGCCCACACCCCAGCAACTGTGGTGAAGCCAGGATGCTCGAATCCGTTTCCCAAGTCAGCTCTCACCTCCAAGGTGCAGAAACCTTCCTCCTCGCTTCCTGCTGTTAAGAGGGGAGCACCCAGTCAGGGCTGCAGCAGTATACAGGGTTACAGGAATCAGGAGCCCCTGATCTAAGTTGCTGCTGAGATGGCCAGACACGTAAAGGTTGCCGACTTTTCCCGGGAGGGAGGGTGGCTGTGGCCTTTGCACCTGGGTTCATGTCCTGGTTCCACCACTTTCAAGCTGGGGCCTTGGACAAGCCCCGCCGTGCTGGCACCTGCTTGGGTACCACGTTCCTATCCCACAGGGATGGGGTGAGGCAGCTAGTGTAAGCGTGGGCAAGGCACTCGGTAAGTTGCATTTGTTATTAACACTAGTGGTTTCTGGAGAACCAGGATATATGTAGCTTCACAGGCCTTAGAACCGGGCCTGCGTTTGCATCCTGGGCAGTGACTTCCCAGCTACCTGACCTTGTGTGAGGTGCTTTCACCTCTCGGAGTCTCAGTTTTCAAATCTGTAAACTGGAGGATTAATATTAGTCCCCATCTCATCACGATTATTTTTTATAAGAATAAATGAGACAATCTGGGCAGCAGGTGAAATGTGTTCAGTAAGCCGGTGTAATTCACCAAGAACACAGGCTCATGGGGTGTCTTCATCCGGCTCGCTAGGTTCTTTGCAAAGTGCAGTTACCTGCTATCCATATACTGGATTTCATTGATCCCTAAACGCACTGTTTATTTTTTTTTTTTTTTACATTTTAACATCTCTGAAACTAGGATGAGCCTTAAAATCAATAGTATCTTAATGTTGTAATTTGCAGCATTTTTTCTGTCATAGCAACAAAGTAATGATGCATCACTCAGCTTCAATGAAGAGTATGTGCACCATATATACACCACCATGTGTATGTACACATATATGTCGATGTGTGGGTGTGTATGTACCTGACCCTTGAACAATGTGGAGGTTATGGGTGCCCACCCTCCCCACAGCTGAAAAATTCCTGTATAACTTACAGCAGCCCTCTCTGTATTTGAGGTTCCGCCATACATGCAGATTCAACCACCTGCAGATTGTGAAGTACTACAGAATTTACTGTGGAAAAAAAATCGGTGTGTGAGTGGACAAGCGCTGTTTGAACCGTGTTGTTCAAGGGTCAACTGTATACAGTTTACAGACTTGGAAACCGAGACTCTGAGAAGTTAAAGCACCTTCTAGGAGGTCATGTAACTGTAAGAGTCCACTCCAAAACACTTACAGATGTACAAAAGTCATTTCACTTTAATACAAAATCAGGTAAAGAAAGTCATGTGAGCAAGATCAAAGAGTCACTAAATATCAGTGAAGTCATCCCTGGAATGTCAATACTGTATTTCCCAGCATCCTCTTCTTCCCTCCTGCTTTGGGCTGATGTCTGTCGCTGCTGCGAGTTACAACCACCTGCACGCTGGTGGTTGAAGTGGGGCTGCGAGTGGCCCATTGCACTTTCCTTCCGCGTTCTTGATTTCTTCCTGCTGCTTCACCCGCCCTGGCCCAGCCGTCGGTGGTGGGGGGCCCAGTTCTGCAGCCAGAAGAAAACCATCATCCTTCACGGGGAACTCACCCCTTCTTGCTCAGACGGCTTTGAGGGGAAACAAGCGAGCAAGTGCAGTGGGTGTGCGTGACACAGAGATGAGTGAGGAAGTAGTCTTCGTGAGATGTCATCTTGGCTCAGAACTGCTGCCTTCCTTAGTCGTGGCCTCAGATCTATGTCTGCTTCCCTGATCGGAAAAAGAACCTGGGTGGAGAGAGAAAGGGGAGGGGGGTCAGAGGGAACAGAGAAAACAAAGCAGGGAGTAAAGAACCCCCTGTAAAATCTGTAAGCAGCTCCTTCAGGCCATTCACTCAAAAATGTCCTC